GCGTGAGGCAGCATGGCAGGGATCACACAAGCAATTTTTATTCTGGTTCGGGCCGCCGCAAGGCATAACATCCTACTCCTGCTTTGGTGCATTGATGGTGGAAAAAATGGTGGTGGTCGTAGCCCGTTTGCCCGCCAGGGCTGCCTCAGGGCTAAACAGCTACATGCATATGCAATATGAGGGGGGTGAATTTGATAATCCCGTGTCCTACCCTTTCTATGGTTACCGCGGGCCTCCTTTTATAGATTAAGGGGTCACCACAGTGGCAAATCAGTCATTATGCACGGATAAGATAGCAAACAATGCTATCATACCTAACTCTACAGGCTAACATAACGCATTGAATGCGCCGCACAACCTCACATCGTCGCTTCCTCGGCAAGCCTTGCCGAGTAGTTTTGCCATCTTCGCACGTGCTCGCTTGACACATCGTAGGACGGGTGTCATCTGTGGGCATTCCCTGTAGAAGGAGGCTGCCATGTGGCAGATGGCTGCTACTTAGTCACTCTGTGGCTTGACACCGCACTGATCTATGACGTGCGTCATGGTGAGGTGCTTTAGTAAGGTGGCTACGTCTCCTTGAGTCCAGCTGGCCCTGCCGGAGCATATTGGAGGTCTTCTTCCAGGGGTAACCCCGTCCTTGCCGGCATCACCTGCCCGGCTGGGGAGGCTTTTCTCCTGGTTGTTGCTAACTTCTCTGGCTTGGCCGTGGTCCTCTTGATCTGCATGTTGGCCTTCCTAGAATCTTGATTTCTTGTGCTTTTGCCTGCCCTTGGTGCTGTAAACTTCCTCCCGTGCCTATGCATAATCTGGGCAATGGACTCAGTGTGAGTTGCACCGACAAAAGCCCCCGGGCCTGCCCGAACGCGCTATCGAGCGTCGTCGGGGTAGGTCCTGATAAGTGCACATGTAGGGGTGCGGAAGAGGATGACCTCTTGAGATCTTCTATGGCTCTTCATTAATCTTGAGTCCAGGCCATTTTCCGGTTTTCCCACGCATCATGTAAAGCCAACAGTGGTGGGGCCACCCTTGTAATGGCCCGTGAATTATTTTAACGCATGGGGTAGAAACTGCCAATTCACTCTTCCGACCACGTGTAACACCCACGATGCGGCTATATCTCCCACGTGTCGGAGCACGACTTAGAGGCATAACCGCATAGTAGGCATGTCGTAAGAGGGGTAATCTTTACACATCCCATGTACTGAATAAGAAAGGTATAAAGAGTTGGCTTACAATCGCCACTTCATACAATACATAAATATAGCATAAATCAACCAGAATACAAATCAAGGTCCGACTATGGAACCAAAATAAAAGAAGAAAACCCTAAATGCTAGATCCTCGATCGTCCCAACTGGGCTCCACTACTGAACAACAGGAAATGAAACAAAACAACTAACACGATCTTGATCGAGCTCCCACTTGAGCTTGGTTGCGCCATCTGCACTGGTATCATCGACACCTGCAACTGTTTGGAAGTATCTGTGAGCCACGAGGACTCAGCAATCTCACACCCGCGAGATCAAGACTATTTAAGCTTATGGGTAGGACGAGGTAGTGCGGTGGAGCTGCAGCAAGCACTAACAATATACGGTGGCTAACATATGCAAATAAGAGCGAGAAGAGCAGAAACGCAACGGTCGTGAACTAGAAGTGATCAAGAAGTGATCCTGAAAGTACTTACGTTCAAGCATAACACAAGAACCGTGTTAACTTCCCGGACTCCGCCGAGAAGATACCATCACGGCTACACACGCGGATGATGCATTTTAATTAAGTTAAGTGTCAAATTCTCTACAACCGGACATTAACAAATTCCCATCTGCCCATAACCGCAAGCACGGCTTTCGAAAGTTCAAAACCCTGCAGGGGTGTGCGAACTTAGCCCATCACAAGCTCTCACGGTCAATGAAGGATATTCCTTCTCCTAGGAAGACCCAATAAGACTCGGAATCCCGGTTACAAGACATTTCGACAATGGTAAAACAAGACCAGCAAGACCGCCCGATGCACCGACATCCCGATAGGAGCTGCACATATCTTGTTCTCAGGGCAACACTGGATTGTCCAAACTTCCGATAGGCCAGCCCAGAGTTGCCCCTGGTGGCGACCGGCGGCTGACAGGTTTGGACCAACACTTAGACAAGCACTGGCCCGGGGGGTTAAAATAAAGATGACCCTTGGGTTGGCTGACCCAAGGGAAGGGTAATAGATTGTTAGGAAAATGTAAAACCAAGGTTGGGCCTTGCTGGAGGAGTTTTATTCAAAGCTAACTGTCAAGGGGTCCCCATAACAACAAACCATGTAAGGAACGCAAAATCAAGGAACATAACACCAGTATGACGGAAACTAGGGTGGCAAGAGTGGAACCAAACACCAGGCATAAGGCCGGGCCTTCCACCCTTTACCATGTATATGGATGCATTAATTAAATAAGTGATATTGTGATATCCCAACAATAACCATGTTCCAACATGGAACAAACTTCATCTTCACCTGCAACTAACAAGGCTATAAGAGGGGCTAAGCAAAGCGGTAACATATCCAAACAACGGTTTGCTAGAAAAGGTGGGTTAGGGGCTTCACATGGCAATATGGGAGGCATGATATCGCAAGTGGTAGGTAGCACGGCATAGCAATAGAGCGAGCAACTAGCAAGGAAAGATAGAAGTGATTTCAAGGGTATGGTCATCTTGCCTGAGATCCCGCAAGGAAGAAGAACGAGTCCATGAAGAAGACAAACGGGCGTAGTCGAACAAATCCTCACAAACGCGACGTTATCGGAACTAACCCGAAGAAGCAACACTGGAAAGAAGCAAACAACATAGTAAACAACCATCACATAATCATTGCATGATGCACAACCAAGTATGATGCATGTCCGGATTAATGAGGTATGGCATGGCAAAGTGCACAAACACTACTACAAATTAAGTGGAGCTGAATATGCACCGAGTTGCATATTGACGAAACACCACAAGAATTATTTAGGTCTCTCTCGTTTAGGTACTCAACAATATTAAATGTTGTTAAACATGGCAAGAGGAGAAGCATAAAGAAATTATCTATTTAGGCAAGTTTAAATGAGGCCGGAGCGCCAAACAACAATTCCGGTAAAACCCCATATGCATTTAGCAATTTAAGGCAAACAACAATTTAAACATTTTAAAAGTTGTTATCATGATGCGGATGACATTTGCAAGTTTTATGTGATAATAATGAAAATGTTGATAAGAGCATGATATGAAGCATTTGTCATCATGGCAGAAACGAAAGGGGTGCCACGGCAACTACGACGGAAAAAGGTGCCACGGCGGCGAAACGGAAATGATGCCACGGCAACATTTCGATGATCCGGTAGCTCACAAGGATACCAGTGCAAAAGGAAGTTGGTATGAGTGTGTCATGCAAGATGATGGGGTGCTCCCGGATGCCGGGTTCCCACATATCAATGACAATGCAATGAGGAACTCGCAAAGAACAACTCGGACACGGTGCAACCACGATCATCTCATACATCACATGCATTCGTTCACGGGCGGTCGTATCGGGGTTATACCTTCGAAGCATGCGTTTCCGGACGGTTCAGGTTCGTTGTTAACGGAAGTAGTGGTTCCCGGTTCAGAGGGGAACTTGACGAATCCGAGTCCTTCAGGGTTTGATGGTAGTGGTTCACGTTCTTAGACGCACAAGTTTCCGTAGATGTTCAGGGTCACGCAAGGAACTTGACGTCCACGGAGTCTTCGAGGGTCGACGGTAGTGGTACTCGTTTTCAAGGTGAACTTGAAGAATACAAATCCCTTTTGTCGTGGTATTAAGGGTCTTCGGACTTGAGGGATCCGATGCCTCCGGGCGTAGTGTTACATGTTCATTTTTCGGAGAGGTACTTGCCGTTCTTCGTCTCGCAGTGTAGTCAAGCTTGACGTATCCGAGGGCTCCGGGCATCGTGGTACTTGTCGAAATCCACATCGGATGTAGTTGAACATCTTTCAATGGAACTTGGCGCACCCCAGGGTCACCGAGTACTGGTTTTTGATGGAGTTCGGGTCTTCAGTGTCGTGGTACTTGGTGTCCCTGTAGTCGACCTTGCCTGTCTTTACGTCCAACACAAAACAACACAAGGGGCCTCGGGATGTCAACAGCAAGGAGGCGATGGTGGTAGCTGCGAGCTCCTGTGCAGGGGAAAGGAGAGTGCGGCCTCGAGGTCGTGCTGGTTGCTGACATGGGTGACTCCAACGAGAAGCAGCGCGAGGAGGGTCATGGCGGGCGTCGGGGTTGAAGACCGGAGGTGGTTGCGGCCAGAGCAGTAGCAGGTCCTGGTGGCCGGCATCGCCAGATCTCGCGGATGGGAGGCTGGTGCTTCGGGAGCTCGCAGGAGAAGGCAGGTCGGGGAGGTCCTGCGGCAGCGAGGGAGTCCTGGCCTGGCAGAACCGGCCATCCATGGCGGGCCAAGGTCACCGACGCGACAGAGGCGGTGGGACGACGCGAGGCAGGGGGCGCCGGAGTTGACCTCCAGGCCGGAGCTTGATGGCGGCGGCGAATGGATGCAGAAGTAGCATGGCGCGGTGGGAGGCGATAGCAGCGCTTCCTGGCTGTTGAGGAAGAGGGGGATGGCATGGAAAGGAGCAGTGGGGCGGCAGGGGCAACAGCTCCGGTGGCCGGCCAGCGTGACGCAGCTGGAGGCGCCATGGCGTGCGCGGGGAGGATCGGGTGCAGCGCGGCGCTGGAGGGAGGAGGAGGGGAATTGGGCACGCCCTGTGTGTGGGAACGCTCGGGAGGAGGACAAGGGGAATCGAGGGGATCAGCGCTGGCGGCGCAAGCGAATAGAGAGGAGGGGTGCAGGGGATCGGGTGAGGGAGCGCTAGGGTTAGACGGGGGAGTGGGCCTTGGGAGGCCGGCCTAGTAGAGAGGGAGGGCTGCGCCTAGGGAGGGCGGCGGCTGGGCCTTGGGCCAATTAGGTGGGGAGAGGAAAAAGGCCAGGAGGCCTGCTAACTGTTGGGCTCCTTCTCTCTCTCTTACTCTTTTCAAAACAGAAAAAAATAAAGAGAAAGAAAAAGGGAAGAAAAGAAAGGTTAGAGAAAGAGTTTGGGCACGGGGATAATTTTCCCAGACTCGCAAAAATCCGCTGGTTCCAAGAAAATAGAAATGGCCAAGATCAAACAATAAGAATTCAAACTCATTTGAATTTAATTCAAATGGGTTTGAACTAGGACGAGGTTTTAGGAGTATCCAAAAATGTTGAGAATTTTGGTAGAGCTCCGGAAAAAGGTAAAAGAATTATTGGCAAGGCTAGAGAGTCAAAACTTGATGAAGAAAAGGCCAAGGGATTTAATATGCAAGTGGGTTCATGGGTGATTCCAAAATAATGGAATAGTTTATAATATCTCGCTAAATACCGGGAGGGTATGTTTTAAATAGAAACTACCATGTAAGTTCCCTCGGTTTAAATGGACCGAAGTTCCATATGATTTATTTAGTTGAGATGGAAAGATTAAAGACATGATGCAATGCGTATGATGCAATGATGAATGCAACGAACAAAACAAATCACACGACGAAAACTCGAAAAATAAGGAAGGCATCTGAACCTCCGGTCTTGGGGCGTCACACCACGCCCTTATCCTTAGCCACGTATGCTGCATGCATTGCGCGGGGTAGGTAACGGAGGCGCGTGGTGCGGGAGAGTGGCAAAGCGGGGGCCCGGTCTTCATGAATTGGCAGAGGAGGGCGGCGGTCACCCGTCGAGGGAGCGGCTCTCTTCCTCGGCCACCTATAAAAGGGAGGGCGAGGGGAGCGTGCGGTCATCCATCTTCCCATCCCTTCTGCTCCAATTTCTTCCTTTTGTTGATTATGTTGAAGAGAAGAGTCTGGAGCCAGGCCCCGAGCTCCAGCTTGAGGTTGGTGACATCAAATGCTTGTGCTGATGCTTGGGGAGTGAGCCTGGTCCAAGCCTGGAGAAGACGCAGCGGACAAAGCGCCCGTGGCGCGGGGGATGTCAGGCTTTCGCATTGTGGGAAAATGCTTGCTCCTTCCACCATGGCTGGTTATCCATCGTGTAGCACGGCACTCAGCCCGGGCTATTGCCGCTTGTTGGCTCGGTGACCAGGGTTCCGGTGTCTTCGACGCTCGCCCGGGAAGCAGGGCTGGGGACAGTTGGCAATCCCAGCACTACCTCTTCTAGAGGCTTTGGGGTTGATGTTGATGAGAGGCGCGCCTTCCTGCACGCCAAGGTGGGGGGCGGTGCGCCCCGAGCCCCCAAGCCGCTTTGTCCACTCGCCATCTCCTCGGGGAAGGTGTGGGGCTGGGGTCCTGGCGCTTCTCCGGAGTAGCTGTGCGGGAGAGAAAATGAGGGAAGACAGAGAAGGTAGGTGGCAGGGCGTCAGGTCGAAGTACGATGGCGTGGATGCCTTCGCCTCCGACTCGCGACCTGCCGCCTTGTCTTCCCGATCTCCCCCTCCCTCCCCGGCACCATCATAATCCAGCCTCATTGGGTGATAGCTGGGGAGGGATGTTCCCTTGGTGCCTTCGCTTCTCCTCTAGCAGTCTTCCAGCTGGGCTTTGGTGGATGACTCCACCGGTGCCCAAGCCGGGGCTTCTTGCTAGTCCTGGTGGCGGTGACCAGGGGACCACCGCTCTGCTCTTTGTGTCCCTCCTTCGCAGCCTCGCCACTCCCGATCTTGTTAGGCCGCGCCCGGTAGGTTGGCGCGGGATCGGGGTGGGCTCCTGCTTGGGTGCCCCTTTTCGTCCTCTCCTCTTCCCACCACAATACCTGATGGAGGGAAACAAAAAGAGGGAGATCACGGGGAACTTATCTTTTTTCAATCATAAATCTATAGGCACTAGCCAAATTTTAGTTCAACTAATGTAATCTCTCAAGTCCATGTCTGTGTTCGGTAGGGTTTGTAGTTGTATTATCAGCATATTATTGAAAAAGGTGAACCTTACTGGGAACTCGTGCTTGTGTATGTCCACACAGAGGTGGAATGCCTCTTTATACAAATAAATGAGTTTTCCCCGACAGGCTATCCTACCGGTATCCTTTCATTTTGTTGCGTGAGGACTGAGCCTACTGGGCATAAATAAAGGGATCAGCCCCCTGCTAATCTCTTTCACTAAAGGCCACTTCGACCATCCTAGCCGAAGCAACGTTCGAGTCCAAGGATGGGAGCACCTAAGTTTCAAATAGCGGCGAGGTTTTCTTATGCACAAGTTTCAGCTTACAAAACACATATGGACAAGAGGTCGAACTTATCTATTTGGCTTGCCAGAGACCACAATGTTGGTTCATCTTGCCGACTCCCGGTAGAGGCCAAGCTCACGGCATGAACCTGCATCCTTATGAGGATGGGAATGATTCAAAATGCAACCCTATCTATATGCATATGCAAATGCTCATGAAATACTTATGCAATGCTCTTATGCTTATGCTTATGCATGCATGAAACTTGTCGGGGGGGCGGGGGGGGGGGGCAACGCTTCGTTTATTTCTTTATTGCTCAGGGTCTGCGCCTGGCTTTGTACAAGGGTTTACACGCAAGTGAGGCAAGGCATGTACAAAAGGGTGGCTACAGAGCAGGGCCCGACAGATGCGCCTTACGTGTATAATTTGCAGAGATGCTCAATATTCCATGAGTTTTGCAATTGAATGCCATCTCTAGTCTCCAAACAGACTGCGCCAGGTCTGGTGACTCGAACTACCCGGTAAGGGCCTTCCCACTTCGGCGTTAACTTGTTTGTACCCTTTGTGCACTAAACGCGCCTAAGGAAAAGGTCGCCTTCCTCAAAAGACCGGGCATGAACCCTGTGGCTATGATAGCGGTGCAGGGCTTGCTGATAGCATGCAGCACGTGTAGCAGACCGGAGAAGGTTCTCCTCGAGTAGCACAGCGTTGTCACGCCGGTGCTGATATTTTGCTACTTCATCATAGGCAAGGACTCGAGGAGACCCGTAAATGAGTTTCGTGGGGATAACTGGTTCTGCCCCATAGACTAGGGACAAGGGAGTCTGCCCGATATGTCGGTTTGGTGTTGTTCTAATGGACCAGAGAATTACCGGCAGCTCCTCAATCCACCGCCTGCTGTGCTTCTGCAGTGTATCAAAGGTTCTTGTTTTGAGTCCTGCAGCACTTCAGCGTTCGCCCTCTCAGCTTGTCCATTGCTTCTGGGATGCGCGATAGAGGCAAATGAGATCTTGCTTCCAATGTGAAATTGCAACTATCCCTGGGTGGTTTTGGTAATTACTAACAACATATAGCTCATTGAACTAATGCTATTTCAAGATGATCATTTCAGAAAGTTCAATGATTGGCATTGCATGGATTAGGAATGTGGACCCCTCAAAATGCTAAGGACACATATTGGCTCAATCTCAAGACTCTACGTTTTAATTTTAGTGATCCAAGATCACATTGAGTCCATAGGAAAAGCCAATACTATTAAAAGGGGATGAGGTGTTGCTTAATGGCTTGCTTTCTCAAAATTCTTAGTGATATGCTCCAAAAGCCCTCAACCACTTTCTCATATCCACATATGTCCGAAACCAAAAGTCAAACTCGGCCTTACCAATTTGATCTATCTGACGCCACCGACTTCTCTTGACATAGCCACTGCCAGAAACCCTAGTCACTTCGGTCTCACCAATAGGGATCTCGATCTCACCGAGATGGGATTGCAAACTCTCTGTTTCCCTTCGTAACATTTCGGTCCAACCGAGATGAGCGATTGGTCCCACCTAGTTCTCAATGCAAACTCTCGGTTTCCCTTTCGTAACGTTTCGGTCTCACCAAAATGAGCGATTCGGTCCCACCGAGTTTGCCTGACCAACTCTCTGGTTAGCTTATTACCAAAATTGGTCCCACCGACTTTGTGTGATCGGTCTCAGCGAGATTACATTATGCCCTAACACTGATGAAATCGGTCCCACCGATTTGACATGTCGGTCCCACCGAAAAGCCTAACATTCACATTTTGAAGTAAATCGGTTTAACCGAGTTTGATGATTCGGTCCCCCAAGTTTGGTGATTTGTGTGTAACGGTTAGATTTTGTGTTGCGGCTATATATACACCTCCACCCTTCCTTGATCAGTGAGGAGAGCCAACAGAACGTGCCTACACTTCCAGCATTCATTTTCTGAGGGAGAATCACCTACTCATGTGTTGACAACAATATATTCCATTCCAACCATATGAATCTTGATGTCTAGCCTTCCCCAAGTTGCTTTCCACTCAAATCATCTTTCCACCAAATCCAAATCCATGAGAGAGAGTTGAGTCTTGGGGAGACTATCATTTTAAGCACAAGAGCAAGGAGTTCATCATCAACACACCATCTATTACCTTTTGGAGAGTGGTGTCTCCTAGATTGGTTAGGTGTCACTTGGGAGCCTCCGACAAGATTGTGGAGTTGAACCAAGGAGTTTGTACCGGCAAGGAGATCGCCTACT